TACCTAATTGTCAAGATTTAATTACATTTATGCCTAAAATTCAGTTACCTAAAAAGTGGATTCCATCCACTTTCTGTTTCCATGATTTCCGCCGTTTCCATAAAAAAAAAAAAGAACATTGCCTTCATTGATATGGAAGGAAAAATCAGCCGTTTCCATAAAAAAAAAAATATGTTGTTCGCGCAGCTTGTAAGAGAAAATAAAAACATGTATTGTAATTCATGCAACTGTCAGGTGATATATATTGCGTTTATGTTAGTATATATTCAGTATATGTTGCAACGAAAAACATGTATAACAGGTTACTTATATTCCCTAAAAAAAAAAGTAAAAAATCCTCTAATATACTGAACATATATATACTCCATATACACATGACATATATTGAACAGTGTAAAAAAAATCATCTAATATATTGAACATATACTCCATATACACACCACATATACTGCATGTCTACACACGCAATATATACTGCCGTGAACATATACTGTACATATACCGTAGATATACTGTCATCTCCAACTTGGGAGAGATCTTAGCCCTCGGAAATTATTCCCAGCACATTCGTCTTCATCTTCCTCTCTGCAGAGCCACGCTAGGCCATCGTCGTGCACACCGCCAGATCGAGAGTTCTCGTCGTACGTCGTACGTCACAACACACGTATCGTCGCTGAGCAACAACGGTCAATCACCATACGCATGATGTCCGCCCTTCAGCCCTCCGCCGTGCACAACTGTAGCCGCCGGCGACGCCATAGACTCCGACGAACAAGTTTTGTTTTTGTTTTTGAAGAGCTTTTGCGAAGTTGGGAACTAGACCTAATTTGTGGGGTGTCGTCGGCCACGTTTGACGGTTTTTTCCAAGTAGAACGTGGTACTTTAGTCTTGGCCATTGAAGCGTAGTCGGGAACGAGATAGAGGTTTTTGCAGAAAGAAAGAGACGTGCGGACGTGGGTGGGCGGTGGGGGATCTTTTTTTTATAGAGATTGAAATATTTCCGATTTATTTGGTAAGAATATCTTCATCATTGATCTCAATATAATTGATTAGCCCGTTAATATCTTCATAACGGTTGAAAGGATTTTAAACCATATTAGGTAGTTTTGCAATATTTTATGATTGATTTGGTAATTATATAAATAAAAAGAAATTGAATATATAAGTGTTATATAAATTGAATGGTGGAGTATGTGGTGAAAATTCCTCTTTAAAAATTGAATATGTATCATTTAGGTAGGAAATATTGAAGTGAGTGTGATGGAAACTAGATATCGTCATTGATTTAATATATATACTAGTGCGTATTTCTTTCGATGCGCGGACGGATTGTTACTTAAAACATCTTTTAATACTTTATTTTAAATAAATATATTTATATTTAACATCTCATTATTGCAAAAAAAGAAAATACAAAATATGAATAAATATATATTATTTATGTGAATAGAATGAGTTTCCACAATTAAACCAATAACATCTAACACATAATATATGATAAAATTAATTATATACATCATACTATTAAAAAATTGTAATTCGGATATGACATGAAAAATGACAAACATATTTTGAAAAAATGTAAAGTCGTATTATATTCGTGCAACTGTTGGATTAAAAAAAAATCAATTTTATTTAGATGAACGACATAATAAGGATATATGCCAGAAATTAAATGAAGAATCACATATATAAAATTCTTATAAGATGGTTGTTAGTTAGAAAAATACGAAAATAAATCAATCTGTATAAAAGTGTACGACGAAATAGGTACACCTGTTGTAAATGTAAAAATTTATTATATAACATGTGTAAAATATTAAAATGTTCTATATTATTATTCTAAAAAAATATGTAAAATCACCTAAATATTTCTAAACTATTATTTAAAAAATACCTAAACAATTATTAAATATTATCTCATACTGATTTATGATGTTCGATATTTTGAAATTACTAAATTTATGTTAATATGTGATGTTGGACTGTGTTATCTCTTTAACTTGGAGGATTTAAATCTTATGAATCAAATTTCTTCTATTACATTTATGAAATTTGATCTTTAAATTTATATGTAGTCAAAGTTCTTCTCTTAACATTTTTAAAGCTACAATTTATATGATATGTCTAATGAAACTTTTTATATTGTTTAGCAATGTTTTAAATACCGGTATGTACCGGCCATTATTACCGGTAATACCGGATACCGGTGGTTCAACCGGTGTGATTACCTCCAAAATACTGTTTTGGCAAAAATACCAGTTTATACCGACTTCATACCGGAAAATACCGGTTTTACCGGCCAAAATACCGGCTAAAATACCGGGCATACCGGATTTTAAAAAAAAAATATTTTTATAACATATTTTTATTAATTTATTTATATAAATAGAAAGTTCAATACTTAAATTTAATATATTTACATTGTTTTTTGACTTTAGATAATTTTAGTATTTATTATAGTTAGTTTTATATATTATTTATATTACAATAATAGATTAATTTAATATTTATTAAAACTGGTAAAATAGACGGTAAAACCGATTGAACCGCGTACCGATGGCTCGTCCAGTATGGTCACCGGTACGGTATTTAAAACATTGTTGTTTAGCATGTTGTCTAAAAAAAAAAAATATTAAAATTAAGATAAGATAAAATTGGTACATATACAAAATAAAAATATTTGTATATTGTAGCAATTATTAGTTACAATTGATCTTACAAAACCTCTGTCCCGTTGTGCCAATCTAAGGCTAGATGACCAGTTGGTGAGTGTTTGCTTTAAATATGAACGGTTGGTCAACATTGCCATTATTGTGGCCTTATAGGTCATCTTGACAGAGCTTGTTCTAAAAGGTTGAATGATATACGTTCTAACTCACTTCATGAAGGACAATTTGGCGCTTGGATGAGAGCCCCAGAGAACAATCACTGGGCAGGTCTTAACTCTTCATGCTCTCAAAGCCCTTCTCGCCATGACAACCCTTCATCCCCAATTCACTCAGATACACCAATACCCACACCTTATTCACCCAAACATGACAGCAACCAATTTCTCTCAATTGAAGGCACACACTCCCACAAATTTTCAGCTTCAGAAGCCCCTACCTCCCAGACAAACCACGTCAATTCCTATCACTCCTTTAGAGGAATTGCAAACCACACCTAACTCCCCTAACCTATTGACTGAGGACAACTCTCAAATCCTCCAACTGCAGAATCTCAACAAAGATATGGAAATTGAAATCCCCCAAGCATCAAATCCCAATAGTAATTCTCTGCAACTAGCTATAAGCTTTTCTCTTAGCCCCAAACCAAAAGTGTGAAAGAGATCATCATCCAGACTTGGTAGACTCCAAAGACAGGGAAGCAGCCCTTCAATCAAGGAGGATAGTAAATTAACCAAGAGAACCAGGGACACATTAGATGAAGCCAAAGGGGAAGGTAGCTCAAGCAAGAATGTTCAAGAGGAGAACAAAAAGCAAAAAACAGAATCTCAGCAGGTAGGGGTGGCCAGCCTAGAATGGTGCTCAAGTGACCAATGCTAGCTGCGGTGTGGAATTGTAGAGGGTTGGGTGGGCCCTCTACAATTTCCCAAATCAGAGAGTCCATTAAGGCTCACCACCCTGTTTTCTTTTTCATTTCTGAAACAAAAAAACCAGTGGCTTTGTAAAGTCAGTAGTTAGGAAGTTAGGCTATGATGATAGATTATCTTTTGTAGACCCAATAGGATTAAGTCGGGGCCTCCTTCTTTTCTGGGATTCTAATGTAAATATTATTCAAGTTAAAAAAAATCTTTCTATATTACTGTAGAATTTATTTTGGGAACAGCTCCATCTCAATGGGGCATTTTTGTCTATTTTAGCACCTACAAACAGATTAGAACTTCTCAGTGGGAGGAGATGATTGCAGATAAGGTTTAATGGGGTAATAGCTGGTTCACAATGGGAGACCGGAATGACCTGAGGACTGCAGATGATAAAGTAGGGGGCATGAAGAGGAGTAGCAGGAGCTTCATGGGATTCAACTCCTTTATCAATAATATGGCCATGAATGAACTCCCAATGCTGGGTTATCAATTCACTTGGTGCAACCTGAGGAGTGAAGAAGGCTTGGTAGAGAAGAAATTGGACAAAGCATTTGCTTCTATGGAATGGACACAAACCTTTCCAAATGCCACTGTCTCTAACAGGGTCAGGAGCTCATCAGATCACTCCTTATTACTTTTGAACATGGGACAACAGCAACACAAGAGAACAACAAGATTCCACTTTGACAAGAGGTGGATAGGGATGGAAGGGTTTAAGGAAACAGTAGAAGCAGCTTGGTCTCATCAAACTGAAGGTACCCCCTTCTACAAGCTTAAAGAGAAGGTGAAACAGACCAGAGCAGCCCTATTAGTCTAGAGCTCTAAACACAAAACCCAGAACCAACTCACAATTGAAAGCCTATCCAAGAAGCTGGAAACCCTGAGGAAAGATAAATCAGACAACTATTGGGACCAGTGGAACACCACAAGTAGTGCTGCAAACGAACCGAACGTTCGCGAACGAAAGCTCGTCCGAGCTCGTTCGTGTTCGTTTAAAGCTCGTTCGTTTAACAATCGAGCTGAGCTCGAACATGAAATTGAGCTCGTTTATTATTCGAACGAACACGAACATGTTCGCGAACATAAACGAGTGTTCGCGAACATAATAATAATAATAAAATAATAATAATAATACTAATAATAATAAAGTAAATAACTAATATTAATAATATAATATGCACTTACACATTTACTCTCAGTCTCTATGTATACTCATTTTCGACATTTCCCAGGCAGATACCCTAGAAATCAGATCTCAGCTCTCTCCCTCGCCAAAATCGCCATCACCACACCCACCCGACCCCGTCGGCCCGTCATCCTCAAGTAGTTTTCCGGCGATCTGCTCCACGCTCGCCCTCAAGCAGTCAAGCTGTCCAACTCAAGGCTCGGGATTTGCTCCACCCTCGCTCTCGTTCACGGCCAGATATCTGCTCCACGCCTCCACCCTCGCCCTCGTTCACGGCCTGAGATCTGCTCCACCCTCGCCCTCAACTCATGCTTGACGAAGATTTGCTTCTTCCTCCTTAGTTCCTTACATCTTGAAGCCTGGGACGCTGCTTCAGTAAGGACCACACGCATACCGCCATTAGTTGTAAGTTAAATTTGGGCTAATTTTCCTGATTTTCCCTCAATTTCTTGCTTCTGTTTCTGTAAGTTTCTTTGCATGCCTAAAAGGTTTCATATTTTTTTTCCTTAATAGGTATGTCAATTACCCCGTCATCTCCATTCGAAGGTTCATCTACAAGTCCGTTCCCGATGGATAATTTAATTGATGATATGGATGCTGCTGCGATTGAAAATGAAGATATTTCTCTCCAAGAAGGCCAAGAAGAAGAAGCCGTCCATGAGGAAAAAAGTGCAGATGCTCCATTCCAAAGAAAAAAACAGAAGAAAACTGCTAAATGCTGAAAAGAGATGACAACTTATGCCGACATAAAAGGTGTTCAGATTGTCGAGTGCAACTACTGCAATGAAAAGCTACGAGTGAACAAGACCAGCACCACAACTCAGTTTAACAGACATCTGAATTCCTGCTTGCAAAGAAAAATTAAGCTCGGCCAAAATTCCAATTTGAAGCAACAGGTTCTAGCGTTTTCACAGTCTGAGGAAGGTAGTTCACTTAATAATTTTGTGTATGATCATGCTAGAGATCGGGAACTTGCTGTACACATGCTTTTAGTTCATGAATATCCATTTGCCATGATGGGACATGCCATTTTCAATAAATTCATGAAAGCCTGTTCACCATTTTATCAAAAAATAAGCCGTAACTCTATGAAGCAAGATTGTCGGTCCACTTATGAAGTTGAAAAGAAAAGAATTAAGGCATTATTGCATAAGGTGAACAAGATAAGCATCACTACTGGCTTGTGGAAGAGTGGGCAGAATATTCAGTATATGGTTGTGACTGGGCATTTTATTGATTCTAACTGGATGTTTCAAAAACGTGTATTGAGCTTTAAAAATATTCCACCACCACATACCGGAATCATTGTTGCTGATGGTCTTAGTAATCTCTTCTTCATTGGGGGATTGAGGATAAGTTGGCTTTTATCACTGTTGATAATGCTGCTTATAATGATGTTTGTATTAGGAGATTAAAAGGTGATCTTTTGTTGAGAAAATGTTTGCCGCTGGATGGAAAATTGTTTCATGTTAGATGTTGTGCTCATATTCTAAATTTGCTTGTTCAAGATGGACTTGATCATATTGAGGATGTTATTGAAGTTGTTAGGAAAGGCATTAAGTATATTAGGAGTTCAGAGGCTCGTTGTAATGATTTTTCTAAAATCGTGAAACAAATTCACTTACCTTGCAAGAAATTGATCCTTGATTGTCCAACTAGATGGAATGGAACTTATTTGATGTTGGCTGCTGCTTTAGAAGTTAAGGATGTCTTTTCCCGTTATCGAGATATTGATCCTGGTTTTAATTATGTGCCTGATGCTTATGATTGGATGAAGGTTGAAGGAGTGACTCAATTTTTGGGTGTTTTTCATGAAATTACTAATTTGATATCGGGTTCTGAGTATCCAACAGCTAATTTATTTCTCCCTGAACTTTATCGAATAAAAGAGCTCTTAAATGAGAAGTTACTTGATAGTTCTTCGAATATAAGAGCTATGGCACAAGCGATGACTTCCAAGTTTGACAAATATTGGGGAGAATGTAATTTGTTGTTCTCTTTTAGTGCCATTTTGGATCCTCGATACAAAATGAAGCTAATTGAATTTTCTTTTTCCGTACTTTACCAAGAAGCATCTGATGTGAACATTGAGTTGGTTAAGAAAGAGTTATATGAGCTTTATGAAACTTATGTCACTGCTCATAATGACCTTCAACTTGACAAAGAGTTGAGTTGGTTAAGAAAGAGTTATATGAGCTTTATGAAACTTATGTCACTGCTCATAATGACCTTCAACTTGACAAAGAGCGAAACGTGAATAAGAGAACTAGACCCGATAATATTCAAGTTGGTAATAGAAGCAATGAAGTAATTGGGAGAACTGTTGTTACTGGGAAGTCCAAGTTTGACTCATTTGTTAGGCAAGGGGGGGAAAAAGTGAAGTCTCAGAAATCTGATTTTGATATTTACCTTGAAGAAGATGTTTTAATTTCTGATTCAACTGCCCAGTTTAATGCTATTGAGTGGTGGATGGTAAATCAGATTAAGTATCCTCGATTATCTAAGATGGCGGCTGATGTATTAGCTATTCCTATTACGACGGTGGCTTCCGAGTCCACTTTCAGTGCCGGCGGTAGAGTCATTGATAATCGTCATGCGTCTATGTCAGTTGAGACTGTTGAAATGCTTTTATGTGCATCTGATTGGGTACGAAATATCCATGGACTCAAGAATCGTCATAATCGGGTTAGTATTGTTACTATAACATGTTATATATATAATTATTTGAATATTATTATCATGTGTTCTATGTTCACTTTCTTTCTTTTGTTTTAGGATCCTGAAGAAGATCTTCATTTTGAAGAAGTTGATATGCTCTAAGACGTGCTCCATATTGTTACTGTCCGTGCCAGGCCAGGTTAACTTATGTGAAATTGTTTTATGTGCATTTGAATAATATTATCTTATGCACATGTTGCTGCCAGGTTCAAATTTTCATCAAATAGACATCTAAATTGTTTGCAAGAATGCCATGAAATGTGGAAATGGCTGCTGCCATATTTTTTTTTTTTTTTTTCTGCTGCCATTTTATGTAACAGGTTACTTGGTTTAGTAAATTGTTGCCTTATATTTCCCTTTGGCCTGCTGCCATATTATTTTTACTTTTTTGTCAGCTGCCATACAAACTTTCTATCATACACTTGTATTTTATGTTGATTGTCTTGGCTTGTCTTTTATGTTGATTGTAGGAATTCCAGGAAATGAGATGATGAGCCAACGGTGGTTGATCAAATCAGAAGTTGCTTTGTTGTTTTGGACTTTGTTCTTGAATGTTATGTACTGGATGTTTATTAAGACTTAGGAATTTGGATGTTTATTAAGAACTGTAATGTGCTGGAATTCAACTTATTGTTATTTGCACTTCTATATTTTGGTAATCGCTATTTTGGTCCTGTTCAGGTATTTTACTTTCTAAATTTTGTATTGATTGTCACTGTTCATATATAATAGCAGGTAAGCTTTGATAATCGAACTATTCGTACAAGTCGAGTTAATCGAACGCTCGAAAAGTTCAAAAAATTTCGATTAGTTAAACGAGCCGAACACTAACTTAACGAACAGTTAAACGAACGAAAACGAACAAAAATTTAGGCTCGACTAATAAACGAACGAACTCGAACATGTTCGAATATCAGTCGAACTCAAGCTCGAACAGCCCAAGCTCGGTTCGGTTCGGTTCGTTTGCAGCACTAACCACAAGGAAAGATCTTAATGCAGCCCACAGACAAGAAGAACTCACTGGCAGCAAAAGTCTAGACTGAAATGGATAAAGGGAGGAGATGGCAACACTAAATTCTTCCACGCATACACTCCTCAAAAAAGAAAACAAAATGCAATCTCCAGACTTATCACAGCTCAAGGTACAGTTCTTACTTCTCAGAATGACATAGAGGGCCACATCTCAGACTTCTATTCTGATCTTTTCCACACTTAAGGAAGTTGGGATGGTGAATCCATCATACATCTAATCCCCAAAACCATCTCTGAAGACATGAACTTAGATCTTTCGAAACCAGTGACTGAAGAAGAAGTGAAAGCAGCTCTCTTTTCTCTACATCTAGAAAAGTCACCAGGTGAAGATGGAATGAATGCATTGTTTTATCAACACTGCCGGAATCTTATCAAAGTTGATGTCTTAGAGGCATTGCTCAGTTTCTTCCAATCTGGTATGCTCTTGAAATATTGGAACCACACTATCTTGTCTCTAATTCCAAAAGTGCCCCAACCAGAAACATTGAGTCAATTCAGGCCCATCAATCTATGTTGTGTGATTTACAAAACTTTGTCAAAAATCCTGGCTCAAAGATTGATGATCAGCCTAAACTGCTATATAAGCTCTCACCAATCAACATTTGTGAATAGAAGGCAACTAATGGATAATATCATCATTTCTCAAGAAGCCTTTCACTTCCTCAACACACTCCACATGCCCTAATTATTTCATGGCTTTGAAGTTGGATCTAATGAAGGCATTTGACAGGGTAGAGTGGCATTGTCTTCATAGGATCATGAACCAAATGGGCTTCCATTCAGACTTCATCAAGCTAATAATGGTTTGTGTTTCAACCTCTACAATTTTTTTAAAGTAAATGGCAAAGTGAATGGCTATATCACACCATCAAGAGAGATCAAACAGGGGGACCCCTTGTCCCCCTACCTATTCATAATTGTTGCAGAATTACTTTCAACCTTGATCACAAGCTCATAACAGCAAGGCCAGATCCATGGTTTAAAGCTTTCAAGGAATGGTCCAGCCATATCTCATTTGCTATTTGCTGATGACTCACTGATATTCAGCAAATTTGACCAAGCCAGACATCTCTTAACTATTCTGGAAAAGTACAGGCTTTTCTCTGGTCAAAGAGTTAACCTGCAGAAATCAGGAATATTCTTCAGTAGAAACACTCCACAAGCTCTGAAAGACAGAATATGCAGTGTCCTCCAAGAAATTATCCCTCATAGATCAACTAGGTACCTTGGGCTACCATTGGGAATTGGAAGGTCAAAAAAAGAGGTCTTTGATTACATCCTTGAATCTATCAGAACCAAGCTTCAAAGCTGGAAAAATAAGCTTCTGTCAGCAGCAGGTATGGAAGTCTAAATCAAGTTTGTCATACAGGCTCTGCCTGTCTTCTCAATGACCTGCTTCAAGATTCCAGCCTCTGTCTGCAAGGAAATATCAAAACTCTGTGCTGCTTTTTGGTGGAAATCTGGGGACCAAAGAAATTCTGGTATCCACTGGAGGAAATGGGAAAGAGTTACTCTTCGTAAACTCAATGGGGGTCTGGGGTTCCTGGATATCAGCCTTTTTAATAA